AGAGCCCGGGAGGGCACCGTGGGGGGGGGGGGAGTGGTCGAGGCTACACCCTAGGAAGCAGTGTGTCATTTTTCAAGGCCCAGGAAAACATTGGACATCTTGTAGTCTCTGAGGCTTGGGCTAATTCAGGACCTCGACCAACACTCGCTTTCTGGTTGAAAAAGGGTCCTTACCTGGCAGTGGTGGGGCCTCTTTTTAGGGAAGAAGACCCGAATGTTGTCTAGTTAAACAATGTAGAAATGCAGAAGATTGGCAAAGACATTATTTTGCGAGACATCACCCGTATTTTTTAACACAAAGGGCATAACGTGATGTTCCTGAAGCTCGTCAAATATCGTTTTCAATATTTTTGTTGGCGAACATTTGTTTTTGGAAACTGAACAAAAAAACATTGAATGTATTTATATTATAAAATTCTTTTACGAGGCTCATTCATTTTTATTTATCTAACAATTCTTCAACAAGATTAGTGGTTTAGGGCGTACAAAAAGTATATTTAAAGGGTTTCTAAGCTCTCTGTTTTTTTTGCATATATCGAAGGCTAGCAAGCAGTAGATATATGCAAAAAGTTTTTTTTTTAAAAAAAACCAAAACACTTTAAAAGCGGTAGGGATGCACCGATACCGATACTAGTATCGATATCACTGCCGATTCCGAGTATTTGGGCAGGTACTCGTACTCGCCCAAATGCTCCGATGCCTAGCACAAGTACTTCCGGTATCAGAAAGCCCGTCGCTGTGTAATGACGCGCTGCCCGGCTTCCTGATACCGGAAGTACTTGTGCTAGGCATCGGAGCATTTGGGCGAGTACGAGTACCTGCTTGGCCGGCTCTGTCTGGGTACCGGACGAAGGCCGCGTTCTCGCTGGAGAGGCCCCGGGGATGACAGGCTGCACATAATAAGGTAAGAGGGGACTTTCTTGTTAATCGGGAAGCTGGGTGGCGACTCTTTACACGCTTCCCGGCTAATCAGGAAGCCAGGTGGCGAGTCATTACACGCCACCTGGCTTCCTGAATGGGACTTCCGTTACTCGGTAATTGGTATCGGCGAGTACCGAAAAAAAATTATCGGTACTCGTTCTCGGTACCAAAATACCGGTATCTGTGCATCCCTAAAAAGCGGTTTAAACTTACCGCTATCTTCGCCGCGCGCTCCCGTCCGAAAAACCGAAACTGCTCGGGCGGCCGCAAAGCATCTTGGGGCGGGCGCATGCGTAGTTCAGATTTTCGGCCGGGGGACGAGGAGAGACGCAAGGTAAGTCTATGGACGGCGTGCACCCGCATGCAGACACCGTGGGACAGGAAGCACCAGCAAGGACAGAGTCAGCGCTGGAT